AAAAAAAAAAAAAAAAACAGCTTTCCACAACTGAAAAAAAAGTACATTACCTTAGTTGGATAGTTGATAATTAAAGAAACCAGAAGGCAATATAGAGGGAATATAACCTTTATCTTTCATGCTTCCACCCTGAAGAAAATCCCCATATCATACAATTCTCCTGAATAACATTAGGGAAAACCATTAAGAATTCCTATTTTTGTCATTTATCCAAAACTTGTGAAGTAAAAGAAGAAAACTTGTTTTAAAAACAGTTCTTGGCATAAAGACCAAGCAAACTTTCCTCTTTTGCTTTGTGGGATTATCACTTGGTTGTAAACAGTATGATGGCATCTGGTAAAGAAATCTATTAAAATCAGGGTAAAACATTTTTTGGCAGACATTGCATTAAAAAATGCAATGAAATGTAAGGCAGGGATTTTTGTTATTGTGGTTGCTGGGAATTGTCCTGAAAGTGTCTTTGAGGACTACAGGTGGCATGGCATTACACTCAAGGGGTGTGGGTGCAGAGATGTTTATTCTTTTTTTGTTGTTATTCTTTTATGGATTTTTAAAATAAAGGTACAGATAGCTCTTAACCTAGGACTTGTTTGATGACTGTTCAGTTAAGATGGCAGTCAAAAAGTGACTCGTGACCAATCCTCACATAAGCATCACATCCCCAGTCACATGATCAAAATTTGGGCACCTGACAACTAGCGTGTATTATATATATATGGTTGCAGAGTTCTGGGGTCACATGATTGCCACTTATCACCTTCCCAGGGAGCTTCTGATAAGAAGTCAATGGAGGAAGCCAGATTCGCTTAATGACCATGGTAAAGGTATACATTTGCACTTAACACTTAATAATTGCATCATTTAGCAACAGAAGCTCTGATCCCAATTACGGTTGTTGAGGACTACCTGCCATATTAGCTTTTGCTTGCATGAATTTATTTACATGCAAATTTATAATAAGTGGTATTTATAAGGGATGGGATGGGACGGGACTGAAGGGTAACTCTTAAAGAGGATGAATTGGGAACAATTATTTGAGAGCTGTGGCATTTATCATTTCGTTGCTCAAAAATGGGAAATACTGTTTTATCATAACCCACATTTGTTTTGATGAACTCTACAAAAAGCAAAATAGATTTTTGAAGGAAAACCCTTTAGAAGCCACAGCAAGTATTTTAATAAAGAGTATTCCATCTTAAAAAAGTTATATTCCAAATTTCACGAGCCTTGTCTTACTAGTTGGGATGCCATTTGGTTGTTTAACTATTAGATCAACATAACCGAAGACCCATAGCCTGCCTTGGTTAAGAAGGGCTTTGTGTGGCAAATAGTAATGTATGGAATTAGTACTCTCCCCCAAACTTATTTCACTGGCTGAGTGGACCATCTAATATTCAAGTCTGCGAATGACCACATCAACATACGCACAAGACAGAAGCTCGAAAGGTACCCAAAGAGCAAGTCTTGTTTTCAACTCCAGCCTTGAGGTAAACTCTCTTCCAGGATCCAGAGGTGCCCCCTTCCACCTGCCAAATAAAGCCAGGTTACAATTCTAATTCAGCATTCATTGTGTGATAATATTTTGATAATGGAGCCTTCCAGGTGAATCCTCATTATCCTGGGGATAATTTATATTAAACATTATGCTAGGTTCATCCAGATTCCTTCAAGGACAGGACCATTATTATCACATTTATTTGCTGCCCATCTCACAGTCCAAGGCAACTCTATGCATTAAAGAGGCAAAATCAAAGACAAAGATCAGCAACAACTTCACTTTAGAACCAGATACCCCTCGACTTACAACCATTCACTTAGTGACCAGTTATAGTGGCACTGAAAATGTGACCGGAGACCAGTCCTTGCACATACAACCATTGTAGCATCCCGTCACATGAGCACAATTCTGGTGCTTGGCGACTGGCATTTACGATTGTGGTGTCCGAGGGTCACATGATTGCCACTTGCAATCTTCCCAGATAGTTTCTGACAAGCAGTCAGCGGAGAAGCCAGATTTAATCACACCGTTCACTGAGCTACAATGTTTTGCTTAACCCTGGCAAAAAAAGGTGGTGAAATTGAGTGCACCTCACTTAACAGCCACCTTGCTTAGTGATGGAAATTCTGGTCCCAAATGTGGTCATAAGTCAAGGACTACCTGTAAAAAATTGCCTCTACATAGGATACTAGATCTTAATGTACAACATGGAAGATTCAGCTACAGGTCAATTAATCTGTAGGCACTTCCACTGAATACATTATGTGCAACTCAACACGGCAATCTTAGAATATTGTGGATTCTTACACAATCAACTATAACTGAAGCTTAAAATTACTTGACACCCAGAAGTTTCCAGAAGTCAAGACAATATTATCAATGTATATAGTTGTTTTGTACCATTTTTATAACATATGCAGCTTATTTTATTACATGTGATATCACTCTTCAGACATCTGACTTAACTCCTGCTGTCATGTTGGCCCATAGGACGGGGGAGCTGCATATTAAAATGCTTCAATATTTATAATTGGTATGAAGTCTTGCAGTTTCATTGCTTCTTCCAGTATCAGTGTTTGCATTATTTTAACCTTTTCTATAACATACCAGTGCCACATTAATTTTGTGGCATGAATAAATGATACCACAAAATCAGAAATGGATCAACAGTCATTTTTCAATAGTTAAGATTTGGGGCTCAAAAGCAACAGTTCAAAAACCATTTTGGTCACAAAATGGTTTTTTTTTATAAATACAGTAAGAATAGACTAACTTAGCTATCTTTCCTGAGGCAATATAGATCGGCGTATAATTTTTTCCACTATTTAGAATCTGCAGGAACAGCTGAATTATAGTCAGCACTATGAACTATACTGAGGAAATTTGCCTTATTTTTTTCCTTTTAATATTGTATAATTACATTGCTGATTTGAAAGATGAAAGATTTCTGCGAGGGACTACAATCTTGCTTTAATAGCTCTTTGCTCTTAATATTTTAGCAAGAAACTTATATTCATGGGTATTTTAATAGTGGTGTATCTAGAAAAATTCTTCTGCTTCTGAAATGAAACCTTGTTTCACAAATATAATGCAGACCTAATAAGAGTTTGGTGATTCTTCAGTGATTATGCATACAACCACACTATGAATGCATTGTGATTGTCACAAAATACTTTAGGAACTAACACTTCTGAGAGACTCAATGGGCAAGATGAACAGTGATTGACAATCATTCTTTATGACAACTTACATACTTTTAATTAATGCATAAAAAACTGAGACAACAACAAATGATAGTGCCTGGGAATGTGGAACCAGAAGGTAATTATTTCATCATATTTAAATTGAATCTCACATTTCTGATAACCTTTAAAATGTGTTTATTTGCTATATCTAAGCAATGCCTAGGTTGGCAGGGAATCCTAAAAAATAAAAAGGCCACAATGGTGTCTTGTATGCAAAGCTTTAACAGCACTTTACTGTAAAACATTCAAAAGGTTCAAAAAAAATTATGGTGAAACATCTATGTGAGAAATGAGACATTTCAAGCATCTGGGATGCAGTCTAAACTTCCAATTCAAAATACCTGTAAAACTTCCATAAATTTTACATCTGAAATGTTCCAAAACCAAGTATTTTGCACACTTCTATAACACAGAAACAACCCTTCTAGTTCCAAAAGCTTGATTTCCAAGCTTTTACTGCAATGTCTATATGAACTTATTTTATAAAACATTATGCTTGTAGCCTGCCCACTTATGTGATTGAGCCCTCTATCAAGATTTCCATTTATCCAAGTACCCATGTAGTTACTGCAGCCTTAACTTGGCTGCAAAGAGTTGTAGTATTACAATGTCAAGAACAGAATTCATTTTCAGAAGGGCATTTAATAGGCTTCGTGAAGCCAAAGAACTGAATACAGGAATACCTTAACCACTTTTAGTACAATATTGAATTACATGTGAGTCTTCCAGTTTAAAAGAAAAATATAAACAAACAGTTTTTCAAGAACTTGCAAGTTCTGCAAGCTTCAGGTTCTAGGTACATCATACAGTATAAATTTGTTTCTGAAGATCAACACGAGTCTCCCTTAATAATCAAGGGGGGGCTGCCTTCCTCCATGCCCCTTCCTCACTACATCATAGTACTTTTACAAAACTACCAGGTATTAATGCATTTATAAAAACAAGGAGGATCTTCACACCTTGCTCAGGCTCTGGGGAATTATAGATGATATATAGGTCAGACCCCCCCCACCTTGGCTTGTTAAAAGAAATCAGGGGGGGAAAACAATAAATGTATTATTCAAAATGCTTAAACACACCTGTAAAAAATAAAAAAAGGAAAAAAAAGCAAATTAAAAAAATTCCTCCAAAAAGATCTAACAGGCCATCCTGTAGCAGAAGCTGTTGGGCTGCTTGTGATAAGACTACAAAAAGGGAAGATACAGGTAGAGAACTAAACAAGATTCAGCGAAGCTCCAAAAATCTTTATAAATACAGCCATTGGAAGGACGATCTTGAGTCAGGAAGGATTTATGCTCGGTGCAAGCTGAGAACGAGAAGCAGGTACAAATTGTAAAGCACACTGAAGAAACTGGTACATTTAACTAAACTAGTCTCCCTCCTCCCAACCCAGGCTAAATTGTTTACAGCCTTGGGTAATGGTGCTGTCAACTAATCTAAGAAGGAGCATGAGGAAAGGGGGGGGGGGCAAAGCTAAGTTTCCGTTGTTAAGGGGATGTTTGCAAATACTTTTGTTGTTCTTTCAAAAAAGCATGGCTCTAAGACAGGCATGTCAAACTCGCGACGTCATGTGATGTCGCGCAACGTATCAGGCCGATTTTGCCATTGCCGGCAATGGGGTGAGTGCGGCTTCCACGTGATGCGTCCGGCCCACGGGCCGGCAGTTTGACACCCCTGCTCTAAGAGGTATGTGGTGGTTTATTTATCAAAGCGTATAGTCCAAAGGATGTTTCTGTGTGCAAAGGCTGCAGTCAGAATTTGTATAGACTTGTGCAACAGTTCCTTTAGGAATCAACTTGTAAAGATGTTGAACTGTCCCACTGTTTTTCTCCAGCAGGACAGTTCATTTAGGCTGTATTCTGCTGGCAAAATAATCATGTAGAAGGCTAAATACTATGTTTTACTACCTATTACATAACAGGAGCATACTTCTTAATCCCATTTGAACATACTAAAGAAACATACTTACCTAATTATCATAATTGTCTCTGTAAGAGCTTCCAGAGTAACGGTCCCCATAGCCTCCCTGATTTCTGCAAGAAAACCACAACACTGATTTAGCCCAATGCTAGTTAAATTGTGCAAATAATAATTCTGAGAGCAAAACTCATTGCACGCAAGCAAAAAATTACATTATCCTATATGTGCAAATGATAGTTGTGTGATTCTGGATATATTTTATCATTATCACCTAATACAACGTATTATGGCTAGGCCAAATCAACTATATGATGCATCTATTAATTATGTATGTCCTCAGAGATTTTTTCATTAGTTGTAATATTAAGCAGAAGGGCTGATTTAAAGAGTGAAATACGGGCAGGCAGACAATTAGCACCTGTCCAGAACCACTTAAAGCAGTTGTATTTTTTCCTGGGGGTTATTTGGTTCATGCCATCCTATACCACTATGCTTAAGATGTTTCTAACAGCTATTTCATATGCAATTTTTTTATATCTTCCTTTTGAATCCATATCTATTTTTCCATCAGTTTATATTACTTAGAATTAGGCACGTGGGTTCTGAATGGATTCTCATGTAATTTTGCATTTAAGAACCCTCTAATCCGTATTAGCTGATAACTCATATCTTAGAAGATATAAGAAACAATAATCCAGAATTCTAGGTCAAACTATATGCAATTGAAATTATCTATTTTCTCTGCTTATATCTGTTTCAATCCCTCCTTCAGTTTCCCTTCATTTTTGAATTGCACCTGGAAGCAAAACGGCAAACAGTGCAGTTTGTGAAGCAGAGGTGTTGCAAGGTCATATCAAGGCATGCCTAACATTGCCACGTGGTTGCATTCAGAACCAGTTATAACTTCCGCATGGTCTTTTTTTTTTTAATTGCCACTGCTAGGAATGAATTAGAAAATGTCTAGTGGGATCCTGAAATACTGTACAGGACAAGTAGGGGGGGGCTGGTGTGCAATGCTCCCTCTCTCTCCTCAGCAACTCCCAGCATGGCATTTTTCTACTGAACTGTCCCTCCCCCCCCAGTTGTCAAAGTATTGGCCCATGTGCCCATTCTTTAATGTGCAGTCATAGTCTCAGACGAAACAGGTTTCCAGCATGCAATACTCTGCTGGCCTTTCCACACCCAATTCCCAATGCTTTGTTCCCCCTTCTCTCCCTCTTATGGACTGCTGATGTCCTTGGCTTTTCCTAATTTTTCCACTGTCCTCCAAACTATTTCTGCCTGGAATCATCATCTCTTAATCTGCATCTGGCCCAGAACATTCCTACTTTGTTCTGTTAATGAACCAGTATGTATTTATGTATGATTCAGTTGAGGCATGAAATATTGTGCGCATCTCTATCCACTTTCTGTACCCAATCTGTAAGGGTCACAATTTGCCTCTAAAAAAGCTTACCTGCTGCCATAATAGTCTCTGGATCCACCATATCCACCGCTTCTGTTGTCATAACGGCCACCTCCATATCCACCGCCTCCTATTGCAAAGAGAAAGCTCTCTGTTAAATCTTACTGTTCCAATGCAGTGGAGGTTATGATAAAAGGGCAAGTATAATATTGTAGGAAAGCTCACCTCTAGAAAATCCACGACCACGCCCTCTGCCTCCAGAAGAGCCACGGGAAGATTTTCCAGCCTGATCAACTCTGATCTGACGTCCATCCACAGACTTATAAGAAAAAAATCAAATAAGTTTTTTTATTTGATACAATTGCATCTACTACCAAAAGGAAGATGCTTGGGGCGAGGATGAAATGGGTATAGTTAGGTCAAATAATACATTTGATTCTAGCATGTATGTTCCTTTTCTTTCCACAAGCCCAATTTGATAGCCATTTTTGGAGAAGCTCTAAGGGTCATTCAGCTGCAGACTGTATTTCTCCATTTTACAGCTTGATAACAGGAACAAACTCTCTTCTAATGTATAATACATAATGCCCAAAAAACAATACGACCAGTAAATTATATTCTAACTTTCTGCAGCCTATCTGCACTTCCTTTCTGAAACAACTTGCCGTCTCTAAGCCAAGCAGATAAGTAATCCAGACTCAGGACACACCTCAATTATATTTAAATATCAATAATGCAGCCATTATCTAAAAAAACAAAACTCAGTGTCTTAAATAGGGCCAGGATTTGTTTGTTGCAGCTTTCAGATAACTGTGCACATTAGTTAAGGGGAATTACAGTAATTCTAATGAATTGTTTTATGGGGCTAATATTAGCAATCATGCTATTCACACATTACCTGACATTAATTTTGAGATGTTTTATGAGTTTTTGCAGGCCTGGTAACAATATTGTGCAAATTAAAACTTAAGTCTATTTTCAACCTTAACAAAATTCTGTGAAAAAAACTTAAAATGCATGCAGTTGCTACAAAAGTTAAAACACTTTCTTACTATCCAGTTTAGAAGACACTGTTTTTCTATGAGTCTGTGCTTTAACAAAAGAGATTAAAATGGATTAAATCAGCTATCCCCAACCTTTCCAGTTGGTGGCCCAGGCCAGTGCAGGTGGGAGGGGGGGCATGTGAGTGGTAGGTGTACATGATCACAGCTCCATTTGTGTGTGTGGCAGCTGCACATGCTCTCCCCTTGCACAAGTGGAGCTTCCACAAGCATCTCTCCTGTGCCCCAGTTTCAAACAGGCTGCGGCCTGATCGTCTGCCATGGCCTAGGGGTCTGGGACCCTTGGATTAGATGACTTCTGAAGTATTTCTGAACTCTAGGATTCCAGAAGTTTGATACTATGAGTAGAGATACTTGTGTAAGTGGACATAGCTGCAGGATTTGAGGGAACATAATGTAATATTACAATTGTCAATCTATATTACAGGAGAAGTATGCTGAGAAATAGCAAAGCATGAAACTTCACTGTAAACATCTTGATAGTCATCAACTAAAGTTCTCACCTCTCCATTCATGGCTCGCATGGCATCCTTGGCATCTTCAGGACGGCAATAGGTAATAAAACCAAATCCCCTGGATCGTTGGGTCTCTCGGTCTTTCACCACAACCACTTGAGATTATAAAAAAAAGCACGTTAATTTAGATCACAGATGTTCATGTCTACATAAACTCTTTCAAATCTCCCTATTGTCAACCCATATTAACTGTCAGGCAAAAGAAACGAGGAACAGGAGTAGAGTTCAACACACAGGTTGGACTTAGATCTTATGTGGGAATGTAACAACTCCAAACTGATGACACATTTGACCCTGCCCTCAGGCTCCACCTAGTTATCTCCTATATTAACTATGTTCAGCTGATTACCATAAAAGTAAAATTTATTAACAGTTAGTCCTTACTCATTAAGATAATTAGCTTACCAAACACTCATCAGAGGAAGTCTTCCATAATATGAAATAAATCCTTGAAATTATGTATATGCTTCTACATGATTTTAAATTAAAACCATTCAAATGAAAATAGCAAATAAAATAGCAAACTATTTGTTTAGGATTAGTTGAAGCAAAATTACCTCAAAAGTAAAACACTGGACTATGTCAAGTCTTAAATCAAGGATTATGCTAAATGATAATTGAAAAAAATCTTACATCACTAGGAATAGTGATGATTGGTTTCATGATTTTAGAGTGAACTGTTGAATGGCTACACCTTTTTTTTAGCTAATTGGAGTCATGTTAAAACAAACCAAGATGGAGTCAGAGGTTGCTGTTTAACTGTGTTAATCATGATTACTGGTAGTGCACTAAACTATGAAGCATATTTTTTTTTTTTTGCAAAATAATGGTCATGCCAAATTTTCTTCACCCCAAACAAAACGCAGTTTGTTCTGGATAGAATTTTTTCAAAGGTTTGTTCCGTTTTAGCTGCTGCATCTTGTTCTTGAAAATGAAAATTGTTAAATGTCCCTCTCTGAATCAGAGCATTGGGAAGGACCAGTTAGTTACATTCCTGTTGCTACTGTTTGGAATGAACTGAATGGAATTTGAAAATAAAGCAGCAGGCGTTCAAGGAGTGTGTAGCATGTTGTGAAGTTCTGGTATCTCTTACTCTTTGGAAAAAATTCAGAGAAGAGCAACTAAGATGATCAAAGGCCTGGAGACTAAAACATATGAAGAACAGCTGCGGGACTTTGGTTTGGCTAGTCTAAAGAAAAGAAATAGGGGGGACATGATAGCAGTGTTCCAGTATCTGAGGGGCTGCCACAAGGCAGAGGGGGCCAAGTTGTTCACTAAAGCATCAGAGGGAAGGACAAGAAACAATGGTTGGAAACTGTTCAAAGAGAGAAACAACCTGGAATTAAGGAGAAACTTCCTGACAGTGAGGACAATAAACCAGTGGAACAGCTTGCCTCCAGAGATCGTGGGTGCTCCATCACTTGAGATTTTTAAGAGACTAGAGTAGACATTCACCTGTCTGAGACGGTATAGGTTCTCCTGCTTGAGCAGGGTGCTGGACTAGAAGACCTCCAAGATCTCTTCCAGCTCTATTCTATTTATACTATTTCTAATTCTATTCTCTAGATTTTTGCAAACCTATTCACACTGCTGCTCATGGATGAAACACCTTAAACTGTTTTGGGTTCTTTTAAACAAAAGAAACAAGACTAAATTAGAATAGAATGTTAAGAGTTTCCAGATCACAGTGTTTTGTCATTTAAAGCAAAACACAACAGTTTTTTTGTCCACACCTCTACTGAACATTTTATGCACTGCATCACAGTACATGTTGCTGATGGTACATCTAACTTTGTATAAAGCAATATAATTAAAAGAAATAAATGTGATTTTGTGCAACCTAGTATGTCTGAAACATTTTCTCACCTTCTGCAATGTCACCATAGGGCGAGAACAACTGCTCCAAATTTTGTTCATTGGTGTCGAAACTGAGTCCTCCAATAAAGAGCTTTCCTTCATCTGACGCCATTGTTTAAGTGATCTGTAAGCAAAAGGTTCTTTAATTCTGAGAAATTGCAAGAATATACATAAGGGCAAAACCCACACTAGTTAAAATATTTTTAGACTGCTTCAATTACTGTAATTTTTAAGTAGCTTTGAGGAAGGGGTGGAATACAGTTTCTTAATTATATGCATTTAAAAGGCTGTTTCATTAAATCTTACTACCTATAGCAGAGATATATAGGGTTTTTTTGGGAGATAAGTGGTACTTGGTACTTTAAAATCTAAATATATGCAAAATAGTATAAAATCAATTTTTTTTGTGGATTTCAAGATAAGGAGCATCTATTCTTTCAGGACAAGAATTAAACATAGATCTTATTGTGTTAATTGGTATTTACTAGGCACAGTGTCGATTTTTATGATACATTCCTTTTGTCTTTTTAGAAACAAATGGATACAGGAGGCTGAGATCTGTGTCCAAATGAAGCAAACCTAATCAAACAGCAATGAAATCAACTGTAACAGTGCAGTTAGCTACTGTACATTACTCAAAAATTTTGATTTCATCACAAAAGCAGAAAAAAGTTTCCTATTTCTCCAGATCAAAAGCACTATCTGATAAACCATGTAGACCTGTAAAAGTTGCTTTAGAAGTCTTGAAAACCTTTTCCTGTTATGTCTTTTCCAATGCCAGTTTTTGAAGGCAGGGATAATCTATTCACCAATTGCATTATTTTATTTTTCCTTTATAAAATGTGTACACCTTCTTTGATAATGTATGTCATCATCCTTTTCATCTCTGGGAAATTGAGGGTCTGTGCTATTTCCCTGTGAGGAAGCTGCCTTTCAGGCCAACTACAATATTTCATCCTGTAAACTGGGATTTAAGGTATCATTATCAAACCTGTCTCCTTTATAAGCACCACCTGCTTATTTACAGCCTTCATGGTATTGTTATATTCATAAAGTTGTGAAGTACATAATATTTCCTGTTGAAACAGAACTTAAAATATTTATATCAGCACTTTTATCTGGAGGTTCCCATCTAAATATAATATACAGATGATTTGATTAAACCTTAATGATCCCGACAGGCAGTTTATAAGAATCTGATGCTGCTTTTGTCAGATAAGGATAACAAAGTACTGTAAAAACCAGCCCGCCCGTTGCATTCTTCTCAATAAGGAATGAAATCTGTATTTTATCTTCTTGCATTATAGGGTAAGGGAATAAAGTACCGCTACGGTTAAGAGACTAGCGGCATTTTCCCTCCCAACGTATTCCCCTCCCCCCGGTAAAATGGCCACGAGCACGTGGTCCGAACAGAATGCGGGAAGGCGAGTGGAGCGCAGCTCACGTTCCAGAGAAAAACCCAACTAAGCATGCGCCAAGTCAGCTCCCTCGCCGCCCTATTCGGGGTGAAGATTTTTCCTCCGCACGCCGTTATCACCGCAGGTTACTATACTCACGAAACTTACCGCGTTTCTCAGAGCAGCGCGTCCTTCCTCACTGTCCGTTAGGCGCAAGACAGTGAAAAATGAGTTTCAAAACCAGCGCATGCGCGTAAGGGCTCAGTAGTTCTTTCTGGGCAACCGCCATTTTGTGAAGCGTCTCTCCTTTCTTTCCCTGCCCCTTCTCCCTCCTCTCCTTAAAAGCCTTTGTCCCCAGTTCTCTTCGCGAATCCTCACCCCTGCACCCTCTCCACCCACAAGAGCCCGAGCGCACTCCGATATAAAGCACTCACCGAAATAGGCCTCGAAGCAAGAGCCGCGTAAAAGACCCGTCCGCTACCGAAGCAAGAGCTATCGCGATGGCGGCGAGGGAAACACGAGTGTTAAAGCGAGGCTGGTTACACACGCTTCTGCGCGGCTCCAGAGCAGCCATTGGTTGGCGTTGCCAGTGGGCGAGGCTTAGCCTAAATAGCGGAGACGCCCATCCGCTCTAGGAAAACTCTTTTTCAAACTGCGGCGTCTTACTGCAGCCCTATCAGCGTTTCCTTGGTAGGAATTACATCTGTGCGAACGGCACGGCCGCGTACGTGTCGCAGCGGCCATAACGGGCCTCCAATTCGCGGGTTTCCACTTTCTAAGAGAGTAATAAAACTGGAAGAATGAGCCAAAATTTGTGTAATGCCTTATCTCCAATTTAGGGGGGGGGGGAAATAAAAAGAATGTTTTGTTGAAGAGAAGACAATAGACTTCTAATCAAGAAAGTAAACCCCTAATCAAATGTTGATGGATATCCTGATTATAGATACTGCATAATTTCTGTGAAGAGGCAGATAATAATCAGTAATTGACTAAAAAAAACATTTTAAAAAATCAAAGGATTGGGAAAAGGAGGCATGGAAGCTAAAGATAATTGGGAGGGAAGGAGGAACTTATACCCTCACATCACAACGAAAATCTCACCAGATACACACTTTGAATTCAAAGTATGTACACTAGATTCTTTGGATCCTGGATTGGATGACAATTTCACATTTTTCATCATTGCAGTTTAATGCCAGACTGCTGTACTCAGACATTCATTTTATCAGGGTCCACAATCAGGAATCATGTTAATACCAGCAAAATGGAAGCAAGGGATGTTCTATTTGTCAGATTAAGTCATATCTTAAACATCCAAAAATTTCAAACATTTGTGTGTGATTGCATATTACGTTCTATCACTGATCATGCCTGATTTCAGAATAGTAGAGCAAGAATAAAATGTTTATATGGCATCAAGAGCATCAACTCTTTCTGTGCTTTCATAATTACTTCATTTGCAGAATTTGGAAATTTCATTTTTTTCCTTTTCATCAGATCAGTAGACTATGGTATTCCTTCAGTGGAGATTGCATATTGAAGTAGTATCGAAAATGGTGAAGTTGGGTCAGATAAATGGATGCATTGTTGAGCAATTATAGGAATGCTAGTAAAATAAGAATGTCGGAATACTCACATTTCACTACACTGATTGAGGTGGAAAAGGAAGAGGAGATAAAAATTTCCCTCAAATCAAGATGTGGTTAGTTGCCACATCTTTAAAATATTTAAATTTTAAAAATCTGTTTTAGCAGAAGAATATAAGTACTATATAAAAACCACTGAAATAACTTCAAAGTTTTCTGATTTGATGTTCTAGTCCAATTCAAGAGAGCCAGTTTGATGTGGTTATGGTGCTGGCCTAGAAACCAAGGAGACTGAGTGGAGACCAAGTTCTAGGCCTCCCTTAGATATAAAAGGGAGTCTTTGGGCCAATCACACTCTTACAGGGTTGTTGCAGAGAAAATAGGAGGCAAGGATACAGTACAGGTAGTTGTCAAATTACAACATTTTTTTAGTGACTGTTCAAATGGTACTGAAAAAAAGTGACTCATGAGCACTTTTTACAGTTTTGTTGCAGCATCCCCATGGCCATGTGATCAAAATTTGGACATTTGACAACTAGCATCTATTTTTGACAGTTGCACTGTCCTATGGTCAGATAATTATCATTTCTAACCTTCCCAGCTGGCTTCCAATAAGCAAAATCAATGGGGGAAGGCAGATTCACTGAACCACAAGACTCACTTAACAACTGCAGTGATTCACTTAGTAGCTGTGGCAAAAATGTTGTAAAATGGGGCACAACTCACTTAACAATTGTCTTGCTTAGCAATAGAAATTTTTGGCTCCACTGGGGTGGCAAGTCAAGGACTACCTGTGTTAGATATGTTTGCCACCTTGAGATATATAAGAAAGGCAGGATAAAAACCTAATAATTAACCATCAAACCAATTTGATTTAACCAAATCATCAAATTAAACAGCATTTTATAAATATTTACAGAACATATTCAAGACAGGACTTATAAAAAATAAAATATAAAAGAAAGCCATTCTATCTTCTAAAGGATGTTCCATACAGCAGGGGCCGTTGTGGAAAAAACTTGTCTTCTGTTCCCCACTAGTCGACACTTTTGCTCACAGGAACTGCAGCATACCACTTTTGTTATATTGGGTTGGACAGATAGGCTCTTGGAAAAAGGTGATCCCTCAGGTAACCCAGTCCCAAACCATGTAGAGCAGTGGTGGCAAACCTATGGCACGGGTGCCAGAGGCGGCACTCAGAGCCCTCTCTGTGGGCACGCGCGCCGTCGCCCCAGTCCTAGGCCTTCAGCTGGGTTTTATAAAACTTTTCCGCTTTAGGCTTCCGCCGCCCTGTACAAAAAAAAAAGTTCAATCAATCAATTTCAACTTCTCGCGGGAAAAAAAAGACCTTGCAAAGTTGGAATTGATTGATTGAACTTTTTAGTCCCACCCAGTCTGCTGTTACCACCGCAGCCATGCCCACCCAATGGGCCATGCCCACCCAATGGGCCACACCCACCCGGCACCCGACGATGCATAAGTGGGTTTTGGGTTGCAGTTTGGGCACTTGGTCTCTAAAAGGTTCGCCATCACTGATGTAGAGCTTTAAAGGTGACCACCAGCACCTTGAATTATACCCAGAAACCAATGCAGCTCACGCAGAAGTGGTATTATGTATGCAATATATCTAGCACCATTTATTACTCTTGAAACCATATTCTGCATCAGATGAAGTTTCCAAATGCTCTTCAGGGCCAGCTCCATATAGGGTTATAGTAGTCTAAACAAGAGGTTATATGGGCATAAGTGAGCAGAGCCTCATAGTCCAAGAATGGGCTCAACTAGTGCACCACCCAAAGGTGCGCAAAAGCCTTCCTAATCATGGTTGGCACCTGATCTTTGAGCAAGAGACACAAGTGTAGGATCCCAGATTGTGCACCAGGTCTATTTGGGGTAGCATAAACCAGGGCTTTTCAACCTTTTCACCCATTGTACCACTTTTAGGATATGGCAACATCCGAGTACCACCAGTCGCCTAGCAAGGTGTCAAAAACTTGATGACCCCCCTCCAAAAGGAAAAAAGTGATGAAATACAGGTAGTCCTCGACTTACAACAGTTCACTTAGTGACTGTTCGAAGTTACAATGGCACTGAAAAAAGTGCCCCCCAAGCCACAGCCGAGCAAGACACCTGCCTGCCCACCCAGCGGTGCTCTTCCTCCTGTCCGAGGTTTTCATTGTTGTGAGCATTTCTGTTGAGGATTGGCAGTGGGGGTGGGGTGGGGGGTGTTTGGTTTTTATTCCCCCCGTCTGCTGGGTGGTTGCAGCAGGTTTTGGTCACTTCACATGACCCTGGGACACTGTGACAGTCATAAATATGAATCAGTTGCCAAGCATCTGAATGTAAATCACAAGACCCTGGAGATGCTGCAACATTCCAGCTGATCGGCGCTTCTTCTGGGCTCAGCAGAAGCACCAGGATCAGTGCCGAGCTCCAGCTGGAGCCTGGCGATGATCCTGGCGCTTCCGCTGAGCCCTGACAGCCCCGAAGAAGCGCCGATCAGCTGGAAAGAGGCACTGATCCTGGCGCTTCCGCTGAGCCCTGACAGCCCTGCAGCTCCAGCCATCTCTCGCTCAGGCTCGTGCGGTGCTGCCACTGGTTCAGCTCATTCCCCTCCCCCACTACCACTTTTCTAGGATGGTCATGTACCACCTGCCAGGTGCCAAGGTACCACAGGTGGTACCCGTACCACTGGTTGAAAAGCCCTGGCATAAACCCATCCAGAACTAAAGACGGAAGAACTTTGTTTCCAGTGTTTCCAAATATTCAGTCACTCCGTTTTGCTATGGTTGAGATGGAGACCATTATGCCCCAATCAGTGCCAACAGCCTCCAGATACTGAGACAGGACATTCTCAGAGTCTGGGATAGAGATATAAAGGGTATCATCCACATATTGATATCTCACCCCAAGTTCACAGATCATCTCATACAGCATCCTCATGTAAATGTTAAATAGAAGGGAAAAAATAGAAACCTGAGACACCCCACAAATTAGGGGACATATGCTGGATTTTGCTCCATTAACATTGACTGGAGGGAGAAGTAGCACCAATTCCTGAAGCTGACCCAGGATACCATGATAGGTCAAGAAGTCAGGGATAATCCGCCTCATCCAAGTTTCTCTGAAGCTGCCATGTGACACTTTCCACCACCTTCCCTAAAAAGAGACTGGACAAAGAATATCCAGACTACTTGGGTTAAGAGATGGTCTATTGAGGGGGCCATTACTTTAAGAGCTGGTGGGACCACTCCTTCTCTAGAAGGGGGAGTTTAACTACCGCCTAAATCCACTCATGCATCCTCTCCTACGCAGCCTTAATTAGCCAGGAGGGGCATGTATCTAACACACAAAAGGCCTAACTAGCAGCTGAGAGGGCCCAGTCCACTTCTTCAGCTTCTGAGGCTCAAACTCTTCCCAGGTCACCTTGCAAAGTGTAACCCCCCACTACTTGCATTGACTCTGCTATAAGGCTGGGGTTCAATGTGCAGCATGTTTTTCACAGCAACCCTTTAGATATATTTTGATACTGCTCCCTCTGAGGGACTAAAATTACATGAAACAGTGCCACTGAGCGACTATCAGCTGATATAGTAAGGGTGGAGAGATAGGCCTTAATAGCAAGCTTACTTCATGGTCTTTGCTCTATGTCTCTCACCAGTGATGCTTTAGGTGTCTCTTAGCCCTCTTAAGTTCCCTCAATTACATCAAATACTTCAGGAAACCTGGGCATGGAGAGTCTGTTCAGGTGCAATCTGATCTAAAGCGGTTGCCTCTTTGCTACTCTCATGCAACCACCAAAACTTCAGATTGAGTAGCAGGTTTTCTGAAATAATTCTGGAACCCAATTAGTCCATTAGTTGGTAGGAGTGGGACGATGCAATAGTCTTGATCTCCATGCAGAGGGGGATGGTACCCAAGAATTTGAGGTTCACTAGTGAGTGATTTATCCATGGCAGAGGAGAAATCAAGATCTCCCCCAAATCCAGAGCATCTGCCATTGCTCTGGGCAGGAAATCCAGATTTGGTATATTACCACTAAGTTAGGCCCTTGACTCTCACATTATCCTTATTGGAATCTTACAGCCTGCTCCCATCCCTTCAGACCCCTTCCCCCTTCATAGCAATACATGTCCTGATCTGTGGCTCCCATCTCATACACAATTCCTGAGGTCTTTGCTACCTAAAGTGCTTCCGCATAGACCTCAGTGCTTATGGGTAGTCAGAAAACTTATTCAGCCTTCAAATTATAATCCAACAGCACTCAGGGTTCTCTCACTGGATTGCTGAGCACCCCACTACACAAGGTACACCTTCCCTTCATGGCTCTCACTCGAGGTGAACTCCTTCACTCACCAAACCCTCCAGCTGTTATCAGTCCCAATCTTCTTGCAGTCTGTTTTCTTGACCAGTTTATAATAGCTGCATACACATTTGTTTTATTGTCCTCCAGCTAAATAACTCAAAATGGCTTCCAGTCTTGAAGGGTGGGTGAAGGAGAGCCATGGGGCAATCACCTGCCTACTCCTGTCCTATGCCCGCTGCAGCAAACCTTTACTTCCAGATGATCTTAGTTGGCTGGTAGCTTTCATTTGCATCCTGGTCGATGTTTCACTCAGCTTCCTCCTTTGTCAGCGTGATTTCCTATTACGTGGGCATGGGTGCTGGCATCTTTCTCTCTAGATATAATAGCCAGCTTAACAGTCTAACAGTCCTGCGATTGTGCCACCAATTATATCACCGAAAGCAAGTAGAATACATTTATTAAGCCAGCAATTGTTCAATCAGTACACTTTTATTAGAAACTGCCATGTTGATAGTTTTGGAAATGAAAAAATGTTTTGGGGCAGAGAACATACTTTTAAAAAAACAATAATCTTGTGTACAGCAGTAATGCATGATCTAAACAAAAGCATTAAAGGTTCTCTAACTTTGATCTGACATTCTTCATAATAACTTTTAGGTATATTGCAGATACATATATCCATTTCCCCAACTTCTAAAATCAATACAGGATCAGAATAATTATTCATCAATATACAAGTTCAGTAAGGTGGTTAAGATGTTTTCCAATTTTGTATGGATTCTTAGGTAGAACTATGTTGGCTAGTTACAGAAATATTCCTTGTGGATTCATGTATTTCCAGCAATCTAATACAACCTAGTGACAAGTCCTCTTGGTCTGTTATGATGACACTTGTTACAACAATCCTGATAGGTGTGAATTCCAGCAATCTGATATAAAATATAAGAACAATTAGCATGCTGAACCAATTACATATAAGCTGATGAAAATTAAGTTTGCACCAGCAACCATTTTGCAGAAGGCATGTTTAAACCCAAAAATTGGATTCAAATTTTTTTCTATCTCCACCTCCCTTATTTGAAGAAAATATATAAATTGCTTAACAAACCTGATTGGATAATCTTGGCTCCTATCTTCCTCTGGTTCACTGTCACACTATTCCAGCAAATAGAGCAGAAAGTCCTGTAAAGAAAGAATGTGCTAGTCAATCATCATACAACAGAGAAAAGAAACCTTTGATGATCAGACATATTTTGTGACAGACTATCAAGGTAGAACAATGATACATATCACTGGAACTAATACCTCCTAATACTTTTCTCTCTCTTTTTTACTTTTAGAAACTGCTATGCCTGTTAGTGCTTACACCACTGTACTACCAGAATACACTCTTTCAAACAGAAGGGGCTCTTCAGGATCTCAGGGCTCTTTCCATTATCCAAATAACATCAAAATAATAAAACATTGCGAATATTGCAACCGTTTTTTAGCTTTAAAAAAATTGTACCATGAATAAATGCTGATAGCACACCTTACAATAATACTCTTAGTAATGTTCTAAGTATCACACACAACAGGGCAAATTTGCTTAAGTAATATTGGAAATCTAACAAAATTTCTTTTCTAAATTTACTGGCATAATTTCTCATATAAGGCATTGAACAATGCAATTCTGTTTTGCCTGTAAAAAGTTGAATACAAATCTATTTTCAGACTTCTGTACTTTCTCTTCAACTATGAATGTCAACTTCTATTCAGCTTTACAGGAAACACACTTCATCTCACCTGAGGGAGGGTTAGCCCCAACCCTTGTGACTTCCCCAAAACCTCTTAAAATGTAGCTTTATCAGGTCTGGTTAACCACTGCCAACAGGGTGCCTATGTTCACTGCATCATGTACAAGATTCTAATGTATTCCCTCTTATCACCTTTATTTATACTTATTTTAAATGGCATTTGTTTGTTGGTTTGATTGTATGTATGCCACCTGGGTATAAAATGGGAAGCCATATAAATTTAATCCATAAACAAACAATTATAATCTCAGATTAGGTGTATTATGAGATGTTGGCAAATAGGTGTATTATTTAGTATTACTTTGAAGAAAGAAAATCTACTTACTTTATAGTGTGGTTTTTAAATCCTAGGTGAAGCAGCAGTCTCGTTCAATATTTCAGTGGTCAATGATTATTATTTAGGGCAGAATAACCACTATAATCTTCTCCCCTGCAAACAATAAGTATCACTTAAAGAAGTTCATTCAAAATTTCAAAAATATTTAAATGATTATACAGTTTTAACAGGATATTTCAGGCCTAGGTGACACTGTTCACCAAGTCCTCAGAAGATTCCCCAAGTTAACATGATTTTTCTCCCATATTTAAGCCCTTGTTCAAAATTATGAAGTTATCTTAAGAAGTGGGAATAGAAAGTTCCCACACTCAAACTAGATTTTATTAGGAAACATCAATCCAAGTAACAATCCAAGTTTTCATAAAACACAAAGAGACTGGAAAAAAATGAGAACAGAGAGGTGGCTGAATGGATCTGAATATTGTTTTAGCTGACTGCCTTCCTCCTCCTTGAAGTGGAATGTCAAGTTATAGGAGCCTGGCAGAACCTCCCCCCCAGGATTAGGAAAAAAAACAAACCCCAAACAGATAAGAGGTCCAGGTTCTAGGGTCCAACGAGACCCTAGATTTGCCCAATAAATTTGCCAATAACAAAGGTCTGTTTGCTGCAGCAACAAGAATGGAGCTCTATGGGAGAAAAGATGCAGACATGAGCAAAAGAGTTACCTCGAAATACAGGACTATTTCCACAAATGAACTAGCCAAGAGCAGCTTTCGTCTCACATGGATCGCACTGAAGGAGGACAACACACTTCGGGGTCTCCAAGGACACTGGCTTCCACATGCTAGCAGAGAATTCTCACAGTGTAAGAACAGGACAGACCTAACTACAGGTAAGGCCAGCTAAGCATCAGTCCAGCCTTAAAGCTGAACAGAAGCCTTAGGCCTTCCAAATGTCAAAAGCTTATTTCTCTACCAGCTCAAAGCCATTTATTTCTCAAACGACCAAGTAGGGCATTCCCTACTTTTGGAAGTGTTTGTATAAGCAAAGGAAGTTCTTTTCCATGCCCTCCACTCTAGGAATACCAATATTAAAATGCATTACAGTTAAAGCAAGTAGCAACCCATGAAGGTTACTCAGTGAACATATTTGAAAAATTTAGAAATGTTACAAATTCAAGTATCACCATACAGCTTATAAATTTAGCATCTTGTTTCTTCTATGGCAGTATAGACTTGCAAACCAGAAATATTAATTAATCAATACTAGTCAGAGTCAAATCTTAGTTAAACTCACTATTGAACGGCACGTTTAAAAACTATTTAAGTGCCACTGTATCGAGAAATCCCACTGGGATCCTTTTAGCAAGTCTCTAAAGTTCTTTCATCAACAGTCATCACTGGGCTGCAATTTTTATTTCAGCCACTACCCCCTCCTAGAAGTAAAAAAGATTTCCCTAAGTAGTATTGCAATGTTGATCCCAATACACTTTGAAACATTCTAGAACAAATATATTGGCCATACTTGAGTCATATTTGATAATATTCATTTACAATCTAATACTCATCTGATATTAAGATACATTTAGACTCTTGTATAGATAATGGTGTTAAATTATGCTAGGGTGGGGGGTCTTCAAACTTGGCCCTTTTATGACTTGTGGACTTCAACTCCCAGAATTCCTCAGCCAAGCTGGCTAAGGAATTCTGGGAGTTGAAGTCCACAAGTCATAAAAGGGCCAAGGTTGAAGACCCCTATGCTAGGGCATTGTTTAAACACATTTAGGAGGAAATACAGCTATCTATAATTATCCCTCCTGATTTGTCAGATTTTTGCATTTTTATTTCATACTTTTTAAAAAACTCTTAGCATACATAAACCCCTCATTACTCACGATACCAGGTCAGGGCCCTTATCTAAAATGCTTTTACTTACTAGCTACTAAACTATCAAAGATGTGTAATGCAAACATTAGGAACAGAGAATTGTTTCAGATGGGATTTTAATGGGCTTCGTAAAGCCAAAACCTCAGTACAGGAAATTCCTTATTCACTTCAAATACAATTAATTGAAATTATGCATATTTCTTCCAGTAAAAAAATGGACAATATAAACAAACATTTTCAAGAACCTCTCAAAGCATTCAAGTTATAGGTTTACTTTACATTAAAATAGCTTTTACTATGATCAATGTAGTAATACCAATATCTTTAATAATATCAAGATTCTTTTGCCTTGCCACCCTTGCTTGTTATGCCAAGAGATGAACATCAAATGATTGTACTTTTTCAAGAGTCTGGTCAGCTTCCAACAGGTTTACTTTGTAGGGCCCCATGTGTCAAGTTAAAAAAACTTAGATTGCAAAGGCAAGACAAATAAAACTGGATTTAAAAAATGCTTAAAAACCACTTAAAAAAACCCCTTGAGTAAAGTCTAACAGGCTATCTTGTAGAGGAAGCTTTCAGGCTACATGTGATAAAAGCTATATAAGGGGAAGATCATGTAGGTAATTAAACAAGATTCAGCGAAGCTCCAAAAATCTTTATAAATACAGCCATTGGAAGGACGATCTCGAGTCAGGAAGGATTTTTACTCGGTGTGAGCTGAGGACAAGAAGCAGGTATAATCATAAAGGCACAGGTTTATGGACATGTTGCAGCAATTCATCACTCCTAAACTTTTAGATTAGTGTTGCTAGGAATCTCGGACCCTCCCCCACTTAGCACTCAGATAACTTCTCAATTAAAAATTTAACTCTTTAAGGTCCAAACATGCACTCAATTTATTCATCAGTAATGCGATTGAAGGCCTGCAATCAATGGCAAATACATGGAAAAAACACGTGTTTGATTTTAACTCAGTAGCTGTACGTTACTGCCACTATCCAGTGTAAGTTGGAGCACTGAAAGTTTAAGGGCATTTTGGAAAGACACTTTTTCACTCCCTTTCCAACGCCTACTTACCTCAGTTGTCATAGCTGTCTCTATAAGAACCTCCTGAGGAGTATCGATCATTGTAGCTTCCTTGACTTCTGAAAACAAGGAATAACGTTTTATGCCTCTTCTCTATAGAATGGATTTGTAAAATAAAATTTGTACTACAATTACCTGCTGTAGTCACGTGAACTACTGTAGCCCCCACTGCGGCTATCGTAACGTCCACCATAGCTTCTGTCTCCACCATAGCTTCTGTCTCCGCCATAGCTTCTGTCTCCACCTATAATTAAAAAGTTTCAATGACAGCTGAATTGCAGAAACCCATCTCTTTCACCTTTAGTTCAATGCATTAAACATTTATCATAGGTGTCTTGCTCTTACCCCGGGAATAGCCACGACCTCGTCCCCTGCCTCCAAAGTAGCCACCTCTGGATCCACGAGAAGATTTCCCAGCATGATCAACTCTGATCTGGCGCCCATCTATAGACTGATAATGAACAAATACTTCAGAAGTGATTGTCAGGGAATGGAACTGATTATTCTTACACCACATTCTTCTAGATATAAAACCATTTTTATGTCTTAAAACAGGATTTTAGCCAATGAATATGAATGCTAAGTGACATAATTTATATTTATAATAAAGCTACCACTCATAATTTATTTATTAAATATAAAACCCCCTCAACATGAGAACAATTCTAGGCACCTTACACTTTAAACAAATGTGAAACAACATTTAAAAAACCATGTCAGGACAAAACATTCTTTTGCAGAGTGTAGCTTCAAGTCAACGTTTGACTCTTGGAGACTGCCTGAATAAGTCCCTATACTTTTCCTGGCAAGGTTTTCAAAAATAGTTTGTCCCTGCTTGCTTCCTATGACCAAGAATGATTGGCCCAAGGTGACTCAACTGGCTTTGTGTCTAAGATAGGGCTAGAAATCATGGCTTCTGACGCCTTAATCACTACCCCAAACCTGTTGTCTCCCTAACACTGTAAACAGATTGCATATCCCATATAAATCACAACAAGCAATAGCTTGGACAACCCTACCCCAAAAGCCTGGGAGAACCACCAAATAGTTGCTACAATATGGAATGTGTGGTAAACCTATGTTGCATGTAATTATTTACACAATCATGTAAAAGTTCAACCAGTAAAATTTAAATATTCTAAGATGAACTTTCAAATCCAATATGCTATCCTAGCCTCTTCAAACTAGGTATCTTCCAGATATATTGGGATCCAACTTAAGATTAGTTAAAACATAGCTGGAGGGCTTAAAATGGGGAAGGCCAGACTAGTCCTTAACCATACCAGCTCTTTGGAAGACTACAATATAGAAATAATTATTTTCAACTGTTAGAGATTAATTTATTTCCAAAAGTCATATCAATCCAAGCGCAGTGATCTACTTAATTTATCTTGCTGTATTAACATAGGCAGTTACTATATTTAAGATCTTTTACACAGTACTCCTCTTAGAAGATCCAGGAAATTTAGAAACTCTTTTGGCTCTTAAAATGGTAAATTTAATAAACAAACAATAAACTGACATATATAAACTGAAAGCCCTCCCATTTTATTTAGTATTGCAAGAAAATCATCATGCCATTCCCTTTCAAGATGAACTTCATGGAAAATGGGAAAAAATAGTGACTTAGTTTACAGTAACATCACTCAATATACCTCTATACTCTTGCAACACATTCTTACTTCCAGGATGCCCATGTTAGCTCACATTTTTCACCTCTCAGGAATATTTTGAGTGAGGTTATCGTAAACTCAGTCTCAACTCAATCGACTCTTCCTTCATAGATTTGTTCTACAGTTTAATCCTCATTTGTTCCCTCATTCCAACTACTGCCTTCAGCATCCTCTGTGTTAGCAGTATGCCAAATGTACTTTTTTGCTGATGAAAAGCAGGCAACAGAAAGTTATTTTGCATGAGAGTCATTCTAGCTTGCATGGAATAAGTGATAAACTTTGAAGGAAACTATATTTGTGAATACTGACCAAATTGTATCAAAACTTATCATTTCCTTACTAATAGCCAATAATGATATGCATAGCATGGGTATCATGGAGTCCATCTCACTAAATACACTACATATATTTAGACTGTGGCCATAACAAATAATATAATTTTGAAAAAAAAATCTCACCTCTCCATTCATTGATCTCATGGCATCTGATGCATGATCAGGATTGGCAAAGGTGATAAAACCAAAGCCTCTTGATCGCTGTGTTTCTTTGTCTTTGATCACAACAACTGAGTGTACAGGAAGAAAAAAAAAGTCATTCATCTCGATTGGTTAACTTCAACAGCAACTCATTCCCCTTTATTAGCCAAACACATTACCTTCAGAAATAGGACCAAAAGAGCTGAAATGCTGTTCGAGGCCTTGTTCATCAGTATCAAAGTTCAGTCCCCCAACAAATAGTTTTCCTTCTTCAGAAGACATAATGGTGACAGTCTGAATAATAAACGAAAAGAAAGTAAGTGAAATAAGTAACCTTTATTGTCACTTTTTTTTTCTGTGAACACATTGGCACACGTTAAAAAAAATTAAATTCTGATGCCTGCTCTCAAAAGTATGTGCGTACACACACACACACAGGTACACAGACACGTATATATACATATATATAAATCACAGACATATACAATACACTAGCCATATTTCCTTACGGGAGACGTAAACCAAACGACTGAGAGTCCACCAGGCCCAGTAACAAAACCTCGAAAAGCACTGAGGACTTTCTATTATTCCACACGCCGCCACCACGGCGTGGGTAATTCCGGCGAATCTACCAATGGAGTATCGCCAGGCCTGAATTGAGCACATGGCTCCGAACGTCACAGGCCATCCGGAATTCCACGTGATCTTAACCGTTCTTCCAGGCCGCTAAGCGGAAGCTGCCCCCACGAGCCTGTTCCGCCCTCCTCGTCTTTCAAAGTTAACTTTACCTAGCGCCCCGTTTGGGTTCAGGATCCTTAAAAAAAGACGCCTTAGGCCACGCTCCCCCGCCAGCAAAGACGCCCAAGCTGTTCTTTGCCCGGGAACAAAGCGGCAGAAGCCTTGCGGCGGCTTGAGAAGGAGACGAGACCGAGTTTCTACCGCTGCGCCCCGAGCGCCATTTTGTTAATCCCGCGCGAGGGAACGTTTTGTTCCTTCGTACTGCCACTGTCCCCCCCACCACCCAACACTCCATGCACTCCACCACGCATGCGCACTGCCACCTTATTTTCTTCGGCAGTTGGCGAAGCTTTCGGGACGCGAGCTTTTCGCTTTCCTAAAGCCTGCCGCGCACACGCGGTCGGGAGCACACGCGCGCCTCTCGCTCCTCAAGAACAGGAGGCCGTCCTTTCCCTGTAAATAGGCTAAGGGCAGTTTTTTTTCCACTCCCCTCATGGGGGGTGGTGGGGTTAAAAACTTTGGAGTTTACTTACGAGAAGTCGCCTGGGCTGGACGTACTCAAAATGAGGCCAAAACACCGCCCGCGCGACGCTTATATTGGGTCCCGCCCCCGATCGCGATCACGTGGCCTCCACAGGGCCGTTCTATGGCTGTCGGGTGCTGCAGCGCGGGTAAAGCGGCCGGATCGCGCTTTTGCTACCGTTTCCTCTTGCCGGATGTGTAGCGCCCCGGAAAGGAAGCTCTCGAGGCAGAGTCCTTTCGGTTGACTCGTAGGTGGGCCTTAAGTGCTAACGTGACCGCACGCACGATCCCTAGCTTATTTGACGTGAAAGTGTCTTCTGGATGGTTTCACGTAATTACGTTCTGACACGTGTACTTGTAAAGTTGTTTTTAATCCCGCCTTTGTTAATTTTATTTTAGTGAATCTGCTTTTACTTTCGGTTCTGACTGCCCGATTCCACGTGTGTATAAAGGAGTATAAATCCTTCCATTCCCCACCATCTAATCAGAGTTGAAGAAGTTTCTTGGATAAGAAGTGAAATGTTTTCAAAGAAAAACAAAGTCCAGTTGCCTTGTAAAAAAGCATCTTTGGGACAACTATGGCCTGAATGACTGAGAATCTCCATAGACGTGTGTAGCAAAAGGACGGGAACAGGAAGAAGCAGGCAGGTGTTTCCAAACGAGTATGATTGTCAAAACTAGAGTGCAGAATTCTGGGCGGCCACGAGATGGCGGCAGAGAGCTAGAATTCTCCGCACTTCAGGAGCTACCACTTTCTGTTCCTACCACTTTTTCCAGCCGAGATGAAGATACCCTATGAAAGAGTTTGAGAAATTAATGCTCTCGTCTTTTCCCTTGTGGGAAGTCAGCCCCCCAGAGAAGGAAATATTAAAAGGGCAGAAAAATATATTTCCTCCCAGGATTCTAAAGAGACAGAAAAACATGCCCAGTTTTTCTTAATAGCCCCAAGTCTGCCTCCCCCAAGTAGAAGCCAGCTCTGTACAAATGCAGATGTAAACCATCAGGAAAGTTGGAGCTAGGAGATTAGGAAGACAAAGACATAAAATCTGCATACCCCACCTGAGACAGCACATGGTAGGATTAACTCACAAAGGCCAAAGGGCATACCCAAACTCAGGTCAGAATACATGACACAGGAAATAGCCTCAAAACAGGAACAGGAAATAGTTCAAAACAAAAGGTTTCAGAGGGTATAAAAACCTACTTCCTACATGTGTTCAGTCCTTTTTCTCTCCTCTTTGCTGCCAGAACCATCTTCCTGTCTGGCTCTCCTCTCCAATAAACTACAACCTTCTTCCCAAAGCAGTTGCCATGTTTATTCCCAGCTTGGATGAACCAGGATGAAGACTTTCCTTCCAACACCCTGATCGAGCAACGGGGATTTGCGGATCTTGAGTTGGTGTATTCTGACATAAAGGTCGCCTAGAGAAGAAATGCCTGTTTGGCCACAAAAGGGAGAAAGGCTGGAAAGAAACTTTTATCATATGTGGTTCTTTTTTGGGTTTTGGTTTGTTCTTTTTTGCATGCCACCATTATTGAGTTGAGCAGTCTTACAAATCCAGTAATAAGTATTTTTTTCTGAAGAGTTTTTAAATGATGAGAGCTGAACAATCTAATTATGTCCATGTCTACTCAGGAGATCCTTTGAAAGGGGAGGGGGGATTGATCAGCACGATGCTTTCTAAATACAGTGACCGCTTACTCCCATAATCACCCAGTCAGCACAATCAGTTGTTGGTACCCTCATCAAATACTAAGGGAATTAGAAAACACCATTACTTCAATTCTCCTGTCCCCAATGTGTGAAAGAGCAGATGGGACCTAGAGGTATCTCTTATGACTATGGAGATGCAAGTTTTGCCATACGTGAAAATTTCATTCTGAACCTTTTCCATTCTAGCAGACAAGATAACTTGAGTTTTACAAACAAAGCTGTCTCTGGCATGTACTGTAGTTGCTAGGATAAGCACAAAAGGTTGCCATTGCATCTCCTTTTCCCCCTGGGTTTGGCGTATATTTAAAGACAGGAAGTGTTGCTGAGAGGATCATGATCTGCTCCTGCTTGATTATTAGGATAGCCTGAATATATTATCCCCCAAATAAATGCTGTTTGTAAATAGCAAACAAGATTCTAAAATGGGTCTTCAAACTTGGCCCTTTTATGACTTGTGGACTTCAACTCCCAGAATTCCTCAGCCAGCGTGCCTGGCTGAGGAATTCTGGGGGTTGAAGTCCACAAGTCATAAAAGGGCCAAGTTTGAAGACCCCTGTTCTAAAACATATGAAGGCATTTAAACAAGGTAACTAAAACATATGAAGAACAGTTGCAGGAATTCGATTTGTCCAATCTACTGAAAAGAAGGACAAGGGATGACATGATAGCAACATTCCAATATCTGAGGGGCTTCCACAAAGAAGAGGTTAAGCTATTTTCCAAAGCATCGGAAGGCAATACAAGAAACAATGGAAACTAATCAAGGAGAGAAGCAGCCTAGAACTGAGGAGAAATGTCCTAACAGTGAGAACAGTTAAACAGTGGAACATCTTGCCTTCAGAAGTTGTGAGTGCTCCAACATTGGTGGCTTATAAGAAGAGACTGGACAGCCACTTGTGTGGAATGGTATAAAGTCTCCTGCTTGAGCAGGTGGTTGGACTAGAACAGGGGTAAGCAACCTTGGCTCTTTTATGACTCGTGGACTTCAACTCCCAGAATTACTGAGCCAGCATGGCCGGCTCAGGAATTCTGGGAGTTGAAGTCCATGAGTCATAAAAGAGCCAAGGTTGCCTACCCCTGGAGTAGAAGATCTCCAAGGTCCCTTCCAACTCTGTTGTTCATTTGGAAAGGACATATTTGCAGTCTGGAAATATTCCTTGATCCTCTGCTGTTAACTGGATTTGCAGGTGATAGGTGTGGAAAGGAGTTGTTTTTTGGGGTTATTATAACCAAGACATCTATACTGCTGTATAGGGTTCAAAGCAGCATACACAACCCTCCTGCAGAAAATAAGGATAATAGGGATCTTGCCACTTTTGTTTGAATTAGAACAATGGCATAAAGGAGACCTGCAGCATACCCACTCTGCTGGAATTTACTGAGTGGGCAGAAATGATTGGAGATAAGTGATCCCTCAGATATCCAGACCTGATGCCATACAGTCATTCATTAATAATAATAATAATAATAATAATAATAATAATAATAATAATAATAATAATAATAATAATAATAATAATAATAATAAAGTTGGAAGGAACCTTGAAGGTCATCTAGTCCAACCCCCTGCTCAGGCAGGAAAACTAGCCCCTTTCCTCACATTTTTTATTGTAGTTTGCAAAGTGAAACAAGAGAGTGTCAGAAGCTGAGAAGTAGCATGAAACAATCATTTTGAAAGGCAAAGCTGTCATTGAATGACCAGCATCAAGTGTGTGAAAAATATTCAGAAAATATTCTCGGGAGTTGAAATGTAGGTATAGCAGAAGTGGTAGGCTAGAAAGGGATTGAATCTTGATTCTATTTTTATATCTCTTTTACCTGGATTTAAAGTCAGGGTTAGGGTTTTATATCTCTTTTACTCGGTTTTAAAGTCAGGCTTGACAGTACCTGAGAAAAAAGGTTATCCATGGTGCCCAAGAAATATTATCATCTCTCTCTGCAGGCTTGTACTTTCCAGTTGCTGGACTAAGACATTTTTCACTCCGTGATATAATAAGCATTATGCTGTGTGAGGGTAATTGTCAGGCTGAAAACCAAGAATGACACATGATTCTTCCAAATTGAGGTCTTTATTGTTCCACACCTATAGACAAAATCTTGCCAGACTGAGCACTCTACTATCTGCATCTACAATATATTCTGTGTACTATTAGGGAGGAGCTGTCTTCACCCTCTTTCGACTCTTACTCCTCTAGAATGCACCCCCTCCCTCTTGGGAATCTTTGCTTACTGCACTCCATCACAGTAATAGAAATTAAATTTCAATTCAGTGTGCATAGAGAAACATGTTGTTACAGGGCTGAACTGGACTGTTGTGGGAAAGTAATGGAAGAGGAATGGTATACATGTTCCCCTGAAGGAAAAACACTGCAAGACACTGCAACTGTCATAAATATATGCCAGTTGGCAAGGATTCAAATTTTCATCATGTGACCATGGGGATGCTGGAATGGTCATAAGTGAGAAAAAAAGATCATGCCACTTTTTTCAGTGCCATTATAATTTTAAGCAGTCATTAAACAAATGGTTGTAAGTAGAGGACTACCTGTATATTATTTTATTCAGAGATACAAGTCACATTTGTTTCATTATTCATTTGTTAAAATTAGATGTATTTCTAATCCAGTTGGTCCTCATAGTTTTATGCTTTGTCATCTGCGGCCCAGCTGATTTTGGTTTCTATTCTGTGTCAAGTTGGAACAAGGAAGTTTCAAGCACAAACCCTTTTCAGATTGAAAACATTCTGCATGCCTAGAAAACAGCTTTGCCAGAAAAAAATGAACAAGACACCTTTGGGTATCTTTATTATGATCTCCTCTGCCTGTACTTCTCAGTCCCTGCATGCAAACAGCTCCTAGTCCCAGTGTATACCGGGATCAAGATTAAGAGAGAACACAGAAGTGGACGGGGTAGCTGTAGAGCCCACAGCGCGCAGTGAATTATACCAGTCTTCATGACTACGAGGGCTTTGAGGATGATGGGGGACAGAACAAGGAAAGGGGGCAGAAGTAGGAGAGGGGGGCGGTAGAGTGTAGGTGGAAGGGAAGTGGGGTAAATGAGGATGTGGTCCAAGTGTGGGGGAATATTGGTATTGTCGAGGAGGAGGCACAGGAATGGGGCAGATCGAGAGAACAGCAGGCGTGGTTGGCTTTGGTAGGGCCCGTTCTTGCTTTCGCTGCTTTGCCCGCCGGTTCTGGAACCATACCTGACAAGGACAGAGCAAAAGCAGATTATGAATAATACGGTAAGGGCAAAATTGCATAACAGCCATGTTTGTCTAGAGGGCCAAGAGAGGTTCTTAGCAACTACCCGGCTTTTCTACTCTCAGCTGAAATCCTTCTCAACAGATTTAAGTGATTTAGCTGCTACTGCATCAATAGATTGTGAGTGCCTCAAATTTATGCATGACACTGAATATTTAAAGTTAAATGGATGCCAAATTTCAAACTGATGAACTCATTGATGGGATTAAGAAAATACTCAAATATTATTGGGGAATAAATTCACTTGGAATTCAAAATATAAAAGGAAAGCATGTGGCTTTTAATAGTTAAAACTCAAACATCCTTTAACCTGTAGTGGTATGTAGCAGGGATGGGCAGGGAGTGGGTGGGCACATGATTAATGGACTCAATTTCTTGGGCCCTTGGCCTAGCAGCTTCATGCTAGCAATGAACTCACATCTCTAGCAAACATAATATCTTGCGTGCCTGACAGCCATTTGAGGAGGAAAAGGAAGGGCTGCCAGAAAACGTTTTAAAGCAAAATAGATAGTTCTGTCCATATTCTGTGAATTGCATCCAGGGTGAATTTCCATTAGCACTCTTGATGGAAAACAGATTCTTTGGTATAAAGCAAGGGACAACCCATGGCTGCTTTATTTACCCAATTTCTAAAAAGCCTTTTGGGGCTATTTTAATATGTCTAGCAGCCCATTAATCAGAAGTTTTCTGGCTCTGTAGATCAGGTACCTGGATGCGAGCTTCATTGAGTTTGGTAGCCCTGGCCAGTTCTTCTCGGCAATAAATATCAGGGTAATGATTTTTTGTAAAAGCTGTCTCCAGATGGTCTAGTTGATTCTGGCTGAAGGTTGTGCGGTGTCGACGGCGGGTAGGAATGGCAGTTGTATTCAGGGAGTCAGGGACTGCTGGAGAAAGCAGGGACCCTCCAGCCAGGCCAGGGAATTTCTTATAGAGGGAAGCATCAATATCTGGAAGGAAATAAGAAAATTCCCTGATGTCTTGTTCTTCTAATCTGAAAGGAACCTCTATTTAAATATTCCAATATTCAGACTATTCAAATACTCTGAATATGGCCTGCTGCAATTGCCTGAATAATTCCCATCCTTGTGAATGTGGTAGCCAGTACCTAGTACTATATCCAGGAATATCTTTCATTACAAGTGGAATAGAAGCAAAACGCTTTTGAAGATGGATTTATAATAAAGGTAGGCCCTTGTCCAGACCCTCATTTGCCCCATCATCTTAGGTGTTATGCCTAGATGACTAGTTTTCCAAAAATAAAATTTACATAGTTATTAATGGTAATTGATTGTTTAGTTTCCAAAAAATCCTGGGCCAAAAGTACAACAATAAAAAAGAGAGAAGGTTAATATTTAGAAAGGCTTTTCTATAATGAAAACTACTAATTCCATGAATGCTGGGTCCTATTGTATTTATTCTCAGTCCCGGCAGTCTCCTGACTTCCCTCAAAGGTCCTGGACAATGAAGCTTAGCGGATTTTACATATCTTGAGGCTAACTTTTTATGGTGTCAGAATAAGAAAGCCTCAAGATATGGAAATGTCTTTTACTTTAAGTCAGGTACAATGAAAGGTGATTCAAGTCTGCTTACTCATGGGCTGGAGAAGAAAGGAAAGCAACATCATGGGCACACAGCCCAGACAAGATATTATAGGCATGTTTTGTCTTCTGATTAGATGCAAGTGAGGAAACCTCCCACTGGGCACTGAAGAAATGAGGTTTCTCCATTAGCATCTGGGTCTGTGAACTTCCATTTTCAGTACAGTACTATAAAGGGCAGCAGGGATCGTAGGAAATTGGCATAGCAATCCTCAGACTACTTGGAAAGCTGCTGTCATCAGGAAGACCTGAAGCAGGGGATCAACATGAAAAGATCTTCCCAGGCCCCCTCAAACCAGAAGCTAGTTATACCAGCTAGTTATACCATTCAGAATATTCCCCTACTTATTTATTTATTTACTTTGCAGTCCATCAGATTCTGCGTGGTGTACAAAAACATAAAACCAGCCCATAAAACACCATATGCCTATCAAATCGTTTTGTATATTGTACATTGATAGGATGCTAGCATTAATTTGTGGGCAAACCTACCTCATTTTAAAAACTTCCTACATTGTGCAGGATCTGAAAGGTAGTAAAGGGGATTGAGTGAAGTATTGATAATGATGGCACATTTAGGGAAGCCTAACTGTATAGCAGCACTTAAGAAAAGGTACTTTATGAAGGGGGCAGCTGAACCCCATACTCCCATAATTTATATCAGTGGTGGCGAACCTATGGCACGGGTGCCAGAGGCGGCACGCAGAGCCCTCTTTGTGGGCACTTGCACCGTCGCCCCAGTCCTAAGCCTTCAATTGGGTTTTATAAAACCTTTTCGCTTTAGGCCTCCGCCGCTGTGTACAAAAAAAAAAGGTTCAATCTATCAGTCAATTTCAACTTCTCGCGGGGAAAAAAAAGATCTTGCAAAGTTGGAATTGATTGATTGAACTTTTTAGTCCCACCCAGTCTGCCGTTACCACCGTAGCCACGCCCATCCAATGGGCCACACCCACCCAATGGGCCACACCCACCCACCACCTGACGATGCATAAGTGGGTTTTGGGTTGCAGTTTGGTCACTCGGTCTCTAAAAGGTTCGCCATCACTGATCTATATAGACACACATAACAATATCTGAATGGCTGCTTTTTACAATAATAAAAAAGCAAAGGTATGAGAAGACAATAAGGAACACAGTGGCTGCAGCAAGAAATAAAATACTTATTTCCTCATCCTGTCCGTCCGATCCCATCCTATCTTGTTTTGCTTAAGATTCTTCCAGTGCCATTCCCTGCCACACATATATTAATCCATTTTTTATTATGCCAGATAGTTTGACTCATAAACCATGCCAGAGGGCTGGATTTGTCTCTCAGTCTAAGCCACACATGCATCATTAACCAAATCCTATGTACCCTATATATGTACTATATATTCATGTATAAAGTATATAAATATACTGTACTAATACGTACAGTACATTATAAAACATGTCCTCAAGATACAAATGCTACATTTTAAATATTCTTTATATTGGTATACCTTAATATCTTTATTTTTTTGGATAAATTAATGTTTTCTTTCTGCACTCTTAATACAATGTCTTGCAGACCACCCCCAGGTGCTAGTGTTTCCCTTTTTGAAGACCTTTGGTTTAAAGAAACCTGTGGCGTTAAGCTCCTAAGATTGTCTATGAAGGGATACCGTACTTTCACTAGCACTGTTTGGTACAACAAAATACCTCTTAAGAAAAGCAAAAGCCAACATGTTGCGCATCTTTGGCTGAGCATTTATATTTTGATGTTTTTTAATGCTGGCAGCTGGCAGCATCCGATACTGTGATATATTGATAATCAAATCCTGTGGTAGGACAGTATTTTTCTCTCTCAGTTCCATCTCACTAAAATAGCTAAGATTAAGCTTGGGAAATATGATGCTTCAGCCCCCACTCTCTGGGAGAACCTGAGATCGTGAGAGCCAAGGCAACACAATGGCCTTGCCTGAGAAACTAATTAATTTGGGTCCCCAATGTTGAGGAATTTGAGCACCCACGTTCGGAGCCAAAGATCTTTCTCATTAAGAAGTGTGCATCCTTCAGTTTGGGGAGAACCTGCACTGAGAATTATAAATCCACTAAGCATTTTCAATCTCCCTCCTACTATCTACTAGCTCTGGTTGAGGGGGGCTTTTTTTTTTTACCATAATTTTTTATTTTTTTCCAAACTCTCCCCCATAAATATACCATGATATTTATCAGATGTTAAGATACATTCTTTTTACATTCTTATATATAAGATACTTTTAATTAAATGAAATAAATCATACACATGACTTTTGATGTTGCTCGTCCATTTCCCCTTTCACTGTATCCACACTCCTTCTTCTCTACCTTCTTTCTCCCTTTCTTCTCTTTCTTCCTTACTTCCCTCTTCTTCCTCTCCTCTTCTCTTTCCTTCACCACTCTCCTCCCCTTTCTCCCCACTTCTCCTCTTCTCCTCCAACCTTCCTACTTTCTTCCCCCCTCCTTTACTCTTCCTCTCCTTTCTTCTGGTTGAGGGGGGCTTATGTGATGGGGGAAAAAATCCCCCTTCCCTCCACCCAGTGCTGTATTTTTGTTGAGGATGTAAGAAAGTTGCCCAGCTTAGCAGAGCTGCCAGCCAAACCACACCAAGCAGGGGCCACAGTTCTGTCCTGAACACAGGAATCCTGGATTAGCCAACCCAGCTCCTCCAAAAGTCTGAGAAAGCCCTTTTCTAGGAACTAGGAAGTCACCCAGCAGTAAGCAGCCCTACAGAATGTGGGTCCCCCTCTCCCTCCTGCCCCCCACCATTGCAGTGCAAAGAGAAAGACTGGAGGCAAATGCAAGAGACACTATCTCTGGGGATTTTATGCAGTGAATCAGGCTGCAGAGTTTGCAGAGTTGGACTCAGAGGGCAGAATCAATCAAAACTGCATGTCATGCCTGGATATGCCTTTTTATTGTGTTATTCTGTCCCAAGTCCAGAAGAAATATATTGGTCAGCGATGCTTTAATTTGGAGTTCTGCCCTGAGGAAAGAGTGGAGCAGATAGCCGAAATGGCCTGCTTCAAATTTATGTAATGTAATTTCCTGGCGTATTTTTGCTGTGCCCTATCTTGTGGAGATTAAATGGGAAGGAAGGAAGGAAGGAAGGAAGGAAGGAAGGAAGGAAGGAAGGAAAAAAAAAACCCATAGCAAGCATGGCTAATTTAATAGAGAACCAAAGCACAGAGATGAAAACTATTTCAACCCCAGTGGTTTAGAAAAAAACCATTCCTCTATTTATCCTGAGCAGGTTCATGGTCTCCTAACTACTGGCTTCCATGATCTCTCATTTGGGAATGGATAAGCAATGTGCTGGCTCCCAATAAGTATAACCCTGAAATCCTCTTCACACAGCAACCTTTCTCTAAGTTGTTGGATGACCTTTTCTTCAACCAACTCTCTTCTACTCAATCTGCTTTGCATCAAGGTGCCCTCTGAGTGTCCCTGTTGCCTGCAGACCAAGGTTCTTCAACTCACCAGCTCTCTCAGGATATGCTTCAGTGAACCCCACACTCTTCCTCTTGCCTGCTTGTCCACCCTCCATCTCCTTTACGATCTTCAGTGCTCCCCACTCCTAAACTTATAAGTGAAGGCTGACGTCACTTTTTTCACCTGACTGTGTGGGGGTGTGTCAGGGCATCTTGCAGCTTGACTAGATGCCTCCTACCTCTTGGCCTGGAGTGCACCATTCAGTGGTGGAGATGATTAACAAAGGGAAGGGATAAAGCAACACTAAGGAGCATGGAGTATTTGAAATCTGGATATGGCTGCAGCTTGGCAGGTCGGCTTGTGTACCTATAAAAGGCATCCACACATAGCTGTCCTTTACACAGACAACAGATGTGCACAGGTGCTTTAGATGAGTCTTGCTCAGCTAAAATTCCCATTAATTTAGTCTGGAAGCCACAGTCTTCATTAAAAGTGTATTGCACCTCTCTGTTGAGGATAGGCTGGTGTGAGTGTGTTTTTCTTCCCATTTTTACAACATTCTCTCTGATTGGTCTGAGAGCACTGAGGCATGCCAATTGCCTCGGGAACAAGTTGAGTGGTTTCCCTGCCTAACAGTGAATTGGAGGCCCTCTGTGGGTGGCAGCCCAGGACCGAGATAAGGTTCCAGCAATCATGGCTGTCTTTTGTCAGGGCAAATCCCTTGAAATAGCAGAACTACTCAGCCTCAAAAGAAGACACTGCCTACATCACCACCTCCTACCTCTGCCCTTTGAGTTTAATTCATGGCCTCAATAGCCTCACCACATTCCGATTCTGGCTATCCCACCTAGAGGCGGTATGTCCCAGCAGTCCAGCCCTTGTTATTCTGCAGGGCTTTAATATTAATTGTGCAGCTTAAGAACAAATCCAGGCACAAAAAAGCAAGATGGAAGCAAACAGGTCTAGCAGCTGTGTGAATGTGGAGGGTAGAGGTATAGATGTGCGAGTGTGGCATTCTCAATTAGTCCAAATTTGTGGGCAGTTCTTTCTGACTATGGAATGAGTTCCAGCAATGGATTTTATGGCCTACTCAGCCAAATTGGTTTTGCTTATGCCTGTTCCTTGCCTTGGCTGCCCAGGATATTCCAGTAATATAGGAAAAGAGTGTAAAAGAGCTTCCAGTTCTTCAAAAAGGCGAGATTCATTCAGAGGGTCAACATAATTTATGATGTATTGTATTTCACGATTTATGATGAATGTATTTTCATGTTGTATATATTCTATTCTATTCTATTCTATTCCATTCCATTCCATTCCATTCCATTCCATTCCATTCCATTCCATTCTATTCTATTCTATTCCATTCCATTCCATTCCATTCTATAAATGGAAGAGTCTAGGTGTTGTTTCAGTTTCATTGTATGCCTTTACCCCTACCATTGTTCGAATGTGGTGAGTTGCAAAGGGAAAAGATGGGGTATGGGGTGGCTGGGAGAAATTATCACCGCTGTGTCTGTATCTCCTTATGTTCAATGGCCTTCCAGAAGCCAGAAAATAGATTCTAATTTACATGTAGATGGTAAACACAGAAGACTACGCTCATGATCTCTGCATATCTGCTGGCCCTGCTTGGTTGAAAGTGAAAACTATGCACATACAACTGAATGCGCAAGTCCTTTTCTGTCCTTTCTGAACGTGAGATCATGTGCTGAGGTTTGAGTAGAAGTTGCGGTTGCAATCTAGCTTCTTGGATCACAGAGGCATTTGCAGGGTGTCTCAGAACTTGATAGTCACTTCCTTCTTTTTATCATCTACAGTACATCGCATGAATGAGGTCACCCATCAGTTTGGGGTCTAGTATCATCAATAGATGGAGGATGCCCCATTGTACATCTTGAATATGAGCTGGCCAAGTGATGCTATCAGTGTCTTATCTCAGTGTTTGGAGTCTGGATGAGTCTGGATGGGGAGGAGCAGATGCAAGCTCAATCCTGCCAAGATGGAGTGGCTGTGGATTTTGGGCCCCTTTACCTGGGAATTTTCTGTCTTGAATGGAATTGCACTTCCCCATTCAATACTGGTGCTCATTTTTTGGGGGGAGGGGGAGAATCTTGGATTCAAAGCTCTTGCTTAAAGAACAGATGGAAGCTGTGACCAAGAGGTCCTTTACACAGCTTTAGTTAATGTGGTAGTTGCACCCATTCCTGGATTGAGAAGCTCTTCAGATGGTCATTCATACTCTAGTTACTTCATGGTTTGACTACTGCAGTGCATTGTATGTGGGGTTGCTGTTGAAGGCCCTTCAGAAGCCGTAGCTGGCCCAAAATACAGGCAGTGTTGGTCATACTTCAATGTGCCCATGTGACACCACTTTTCCATGGCTTGCAGAGTTGCTAGTAGAGTTTTGATGCACTTCAAAGTATAAGCTTGTGTAAGGTATAAGCTCTTCATGGCATAAGCCAGGTTACTTGATGATTTCTGTCTGTATGATAAGGTTCCCCCAGAAATCCATATTACATTCTGATGATGTTCTGCAAGTTGTTGAAAATCTGGGTGTTCTCCCAAGCCTTGAGGTAGGGTGCTTGTGGAGTCCTATTTGGTTGGCTGTTGTGTAGTCTGTCCAGACGCTGAGATTTTTTTTATTGTTTTCCTGTTTTAAGTGTGAACCATCCATAGACATTTTAGAACTGAGCTGCTTTCAAATCAATCAATCAATTAATCAGACAATCCAATCAGTCAACTAAGCAACCAACCAACCAACCAACCAACCAACCAACTAGTCAAGTAGCTCAGGGCTGGCTTCATACAGCAAAGTTAAGGAGATGGATTTTCAGAGGAGAGATAAAATCAGGAATGGCTGCCATTGCATGAATATGACAGATGAGAATTTCTCATTCCAAAAGGTTGGGCTTGAGACTGAGAGCAGATACAGGCTGTGACATCAAAGGATGACCTCAGAGCTGAGGTTCTAGAAGTCAGGTGAACTGCCATCTCTTCATGGAGTACGTTGGCAAGTGTGTCTTGCTGGGCCAATTAAGAACTTTGTTGTGGCCTGGAGAAGTTCGACCTGCTATCAGGCAAAAAATTGGAAAGTTGGAGCCTCACTTTGTCAGCTGTCACTTGGAATCTTCTGGAGCTCTTGACTTGGCACCCATAAAGGATAATACTCTGAATGCTTCTTTCTTTCATTTTACTTGGCTGCTATGCTAACTTGACATGCAGTCAAATCATTTTGAACTTTGGGACTGAGGTAAGAGATGGGCCACTGATAAAA